ATTAAAATATACGCAGTCCTTCCTTTTATATTGTATTTATTATTTTTTTTTTTTACTGAAAACAGCAAGATACGCATTCTTCTTCTTTTTTTTAAAAGATACGTATTCTTCTTTCCATGCTGTCTAACTTTCTTTACACGAAAACGGCAAGATATGCATTCCTCTTTTCGAAAACATACATATCTCTTTTATATTATGTCAATATTCTTTTTAATAAAAACAGTACAATTTGCATATTGCTTTTTATTGTGATATGCATTCCTCTATTTATGTTTTTTTTTAGACATGACAACAGCAACATTCGCACTCTTCCTTTTATATACTGATTATCGTGTTTACACGATTATATCACATACGCTCCTCCCATGCTCGCCATGAAAACCTTCAAATTCCTTTCCCTCTCCCTACGCTCCTTCCGACCCCCGTCCTCTAGTCCCCCAATATTCCCCCCCTTTCCAACCGCTATTTCCCTCTCCCTTGCACAACTCCCTCCGAAATACCCTTCTCCATTCTTTCCCATCCATCCACCACCCGTTCCTTCCTAATTATCCCATCTTCTTCATTCACTTTTTTCACTCTCTCCAATTCCTTTCGGATGCTTCACTTTCTGCTCATGTTCTCGTCCACCTCCTCTCTCAATTCCCTCCAAATTCTCCCTTCCTTTTTTTCCTCCCTCCACGTAATCACCACGGGCAGGCTCATGATTTGTTCTTCCATTACTGGGGTTGAGACCTACTGAAATATTGAGTGTCTAGTTTTGCTGACTGGCTATTTTTCGTACGTCAATAAAAGCAGCAGCATCTCCCTCGCGAGTAGCTTTCAGACTCGAGTAAGAGACTGACAGTGATTGGTATGCATTAGATCTTTCGTTGTTCACCGGGTTATAAACTGATCTATCAAACAAAAAGCAGGCTTCGATTCCGCCTCAAACTGTTTAGCAAGTACGAACTATCCTATTTAATATATTCCAAAGGTGGGAGGGACATTAGTGGCATTTGTCGCTACCTCACTCAAACCAACTCAAAGGTAAAATAATTATTCCATTGGAAACGGTACATTGCTAGTGGAAACCAATACACTATGCGCTCAGACACGAAACTAGGGATATATAGGAAAACAATGTATCCCAGTGTCTAATATATATATATATATATATATATATATATATATATATATATATATATATATATATATATATATATATAATATATATAAATATATATATATATATATATATATATATATATATATATATATATATATATATATATATATATATATATATATATATATATATATATATATATAATTCACATAAACACATTTGGTCTTTCCCGTAAGCACGATTAGGTAATTACACACACACACACACACACACACACACACACACACACACACATATATATATATATATATATATATATATATATATATATATATATATATATATACTTCACATAAACACATTTGCTCTTTCCCGTAAGCACGATTAGGTAATTACACACACACACATACACACACACACACACACACACACACACACACACACACATATATATATATATATATATATATATATATATATATATATATATATATATATATATATATATATATATATATATATATATATATATATATATATATATATATATATATATATATATAACACACGCACACGTGCACTCACAAAAACACACACACTCACACACACACACACACACACACACACACACAAACATATCTCTCTACACTTGGAATCCTTCAACTTTTTGTCAGTGAGACAACATGGCTTCACAGAAGGTAGATCAACAGTAACAAACTTATTAGAATTTTATGATGAGGTAAGCCAAATCTTACAGGAAAGAGAGGGCTGGGCAGATTGCATATTCCTAAACTTCCAGAAAGCGTTTGACACTGTTCCACATGGGAGACTTATTAGGAAGCTGCAATCAATGGCTAGAATAGGTGGAAATGTTTTGTAATGGATAAAAACTTACTTAGAAGGAAGGGAACAGAGGGTTAGAGTAAGACACTCAGTGTCTGAATAGAGAAGAGTTAGTAGTGGAGTTCCACAGGGTTCAGTTTTAGGGCCACTTTTGTTCCTTGTATATGTAAATGACCTACCAGAGTCTGTAAATTCATTCATGAATATGTTTGCAGATGATGCAAAGATTGTGAAGAAAGTAAAAAACGAGAACAATGGTAGAGAACTTCAGGAGGATCTAAATAATCTGCATGAGTGGTCAGAAAAGTGGCTAATGAAATTCAATACTTCAAAATGTAAGGTAATGAGAATGGGTACAAGTGCAAGAAGGCCCAAGCTTGACTACTTGGTGGCTGGAGTACAACTTCAAGAGACAGAAAATGAGAGAGATCTAGGAGTAAACATACTGGCAGATTTGTCTCCAGAAATACATATAAATGGCATAGTAAGGGCAGCATATGCATTCTTATCAAATGTAAGGGTAGCCTTCAGGCACATGGACAAGGAAATGTTCAGAAATATTTATGTAACCTATGTGAGGCCAAAACTCGAATATGCAGCCCCCTTTTGGAATCCGCACTTGAAAAAGCACATAGCTAAGCTTGAAAAAGTTCAAAGACATGCCACGAAACTGGTGCCAGAAATACGCAATCTCAGTTATGATGAGAGGCTGAGGGAATTAGACTTACCATCACTCGAAGCTAGAAGAGTGAGGGGGGATATGGTGACAGTCTTTCAATTCCTTCATGGTTATGATAGAGTGGATAGGGATCGATATTTTGATATGGCTGGCTCTAGAACTAGAGGTCATAGTTTGAAGCTTCGTAAGAAAAGTTCTTTGCAGGATGTAAGGAAATACTTTTTCAGTGTAAGAGTAGTTGATAATTGGAATTGGCTAAGCGAGGAGGTAGTTAATGCTATCTCAATCCATAGTTTTAAGGACAGGTATGATAAGTATGACTAAGTATAAAATGGAAGCGATGAGGAGACGGGAAGATACGAGCTTTGGGCTCTTTCCCGTAAACACAATTAGGTAATCACAATTAGGCAATCACACACACACACACACACACACACACACACACACACACACACACACACACATATATATATATATATATATATATATATATATATATATATATATATATATATATATATATATATATATATATATATATATATATATATATATATATATATATATATAACACGCATGCGTGTACTCACAAATAAAAGCACACATACACACACACATATATATATATATATATATATATATATATATATATATATATATATATATATATATATATATATATATATATTATATATATAAATATATATATATATATATATATATATATATATATATATATATATATATATATATATATATATATATATATATATATATACATATATAATGCACACACACAAGCATATGCACACGTACAATCACACACACACACACACACACACACACACACACAATATATATATATATATATATATATATATATATATATATATATATATATATTATATACTATATATATATATATATATATATATATATATATATATATATATATATATATATATATATATATATATATATATATATATATATAGCCAAATAAGTATATTACATATGTGAAAACATGAATAATTTTTACCCCTACCAGGACTTTAACCTAGGACTTATAATCACTAAGCCAGTGCGCTACCAACTACACCACAGAAGGTTAAAAGCAAACAGACCTTATAGCTTATATCTGCTATAGTAGGAATGAATGCATTCTATCTGAATGCCACGATGTTCATGTTACAATTTCCCCAACCTCAATCGTGGTTTCGTTTTCGAATTTAATTCAACTCCCAATCTCATTCGGGACTAACAATAACCATATAAGGACATTACATATGTGAAAACATGAATCATTTTTACCCCGACCGGGACTTGAATCTAGAATTTATAATTACTAAACCAAGGCGCTACCAACTACACAACAGTAGGTTAAAAGGAAACAGACCTTATAGCTTATATCTGCTATAGTAAGAATGAACGCATTCTATCTGAATGCCACTAAGTTCAAATTACAGTTTTTCCAACCTCACTTATGGTTTCGTTTTCACATTTAATTCAACTCCCAATCTCATTTGGGACCAACAGTAAGCAAATAGGCACATTATATATGTGAAGCTGTAATATGAAATAGTGGCATTCAGATAGAAAGCGTTCTTTACTACTACAGCAGATATAAGCTATAAGGTCTGTTTCCTTTTAACCATTTGTGGAGTAGTTGGTAGCGCCTTGGCTTAGTAATTATAAGTCCTAGGTTGAAGTCCCGGTCGGGGTAAAAATGATTCATGTTTTCACATATGTAATGTGCTTATTTGGGTATTATTGGTCCCGAATGCGATTCGGAGTTGAATTCAATGCGAAAACGAAACCACGAGCGAGTTCTATAGCAGATATATGCTATAAGGTCAGTTTCCTTTTAATCTTCTGTGGTGTAGTTGGTAGCGCCTTGGCTTTGTAATTATAAGTCCTAGGTTCAAGGCCCGGTTGGGGTAAAAATGATTCATGTTTTAATATATAGATTGGTAGTTGAATTGAATGCGAAAACGATACCACGCGTGAGTTTGGGAAATCTGTAATATGAACATAGTGACATTCAGATAGAGTGCTTTCATTCCTACTATAGCAGATATAAGCTATAAGGTGTTTCCATTTAACCTACTGTTGTGTAGTTGGTAGCGCCTTGGCTTATTAATTATAAGTCCTAGGTTCAAGTCCCGATCGGGGTAAAAATCATTCATGTTTTCACATATGTAATGTGCTTATTTGGTTATTGTTGGTCCCGAATGATTTTGGGAGTTGAATTAAAAGCAAAAACGAAACCGCGAGTGAGGTTGGGGAAACTGTAAAATGAAGATAGTGGCATTCATATAGAATGCGATCATTCCTACTATTGAAGATATAAGCTATAAGTTCTGTTTCCTTTAAACCTTCTGTGGTGTAGTTGGCAGCGCCTTGGCTTATTAATTATAAGTCCTAGGTTCAAGTCCTGGTAGGGATAAAAATGATTCATATATATATATATATATATATATATATATATATATATATATATATATATATATATATATATATATATATTATATATATATATATATATATATGTATATAGTTTTAAAAGTTCTTGATCAACTTTTAAAAAAGAAGAGAAAACACATTTGAAATTTTATATTTCCAAAACGGACTGTAACTCTGCAAAAATTCTAAAAGTAATTATAATTCAATCTAAGTCACTTTGAAGCTATGAACACTTTTCCATGAGTTAACTTGGTCTTTGCTTTTTGAAAATATGAAGTCATTTTTGAAAACTGAGCACAAGGACGTAAATGCCCTTAAAATAATATATATATATATATATATATATATATATATATATATATATATATATATATATATATATATATATATATATATATATATATATATATATATATATATATATCATTGCAGTTTGCTTATGTGGTCAGTAATGCAGAACTAAATTTTCACGAAAAGACTCATTTTTGTGTGTGAAAAAAAAAATGACAGTGATTCTACAGTTGAAATAAATTATATTTCAAATATTCCAGTGATGCGATCACACCCAGTATTAGAATGAAGGTATACATACTCCGAGCGTATCAACAGTTATTTATCAATTTACATAATATTATTTTTCTCTTTCGGAATTTCAAAAATTTCTAGCCACCCAGAGGCACCTTTTCCCAGTGTATTTCAACTAAAAAAACAAAATTATATATAACTATTTTCTTTCTGAGTTTCCAGATATTCCAGTGACCCCGAAGCACCCACTCTCTGGACTAATGTATTTGTACCCAGAGAACCCCCCCATCAGTAGCGGCAAACAATTCTTTGATTTCATGAGCTATATATGTCTCGTGTAAACGGGAAACCTTAAGACTGTATTTTAGAGCCTGAGTGGCGTAAATATATTTGTAGAGTTTAAAGCTCCTTCTGTGAGAAAAGTGAATGAAAATTAAATGGTCTATCCGAGTGAAGAATATATATATATATATATATATATATATATATATATATATATATATATATATATATATATATATATATATATATTTATATATATATATATATATATATATATATATATATATATATATATATATATATATTCATATGTATTTTTTAATAATTTTTTCTTGATTTGTACATGTAAATTTTTGCTTATGTTGCTAACTGCTTACATAAATACGAAACCGAAATGAGTTTTAAGACATATTGACAGATGGATACAATGTGTAATTATTAAAATATATATATATGCA